CAATGCTCTTCCAACTGAGCTACGCGGTCAGGACGGTTCGAGTAAGTGATATTTCGGAACAGAATCTAGTTCCTTCGATACCAATGTTTTCTAGTAGTATGAATTTTTTCTGTGTTGGTGTAATGTACTCAGGTGAATATGATATTTGTGGTGTTACTCTGAGTGCATATCCACACCGGGCGAGCTTGAAAAATATGCCCGGCCACGGTGGGATTCGAACCTACGACCTGTGTTTAAATTATGCAGTTTGTGTTTAAATTATGCAGTTTCACACTGCTAATGGGCGTCGTTACGCTTGGAGTATTAATTGGATTAGTTGCCGGCCCACGATCATTGTTCTCCTGGTTATTACCTGTTAATCTAAATACTAGATTTTCAAGGGACACAAGTTTCGATTTAAAAACTGAATTTTCCTCGCTAAGTTTATGAATAATTTATTCTTGATGCTGTATAATGGCTTCCATATTTTCTTGTTTAGCTTTAAGTAAGTTAGTGTTCGAAGCATTTTGGGAAATTACTTCGGGTAATAATTTGCCTTCCAAAATTGCTATGTCTAATTTAATACCTTCAAGTTCAGTTGTTAGGCTCCTGTTTATACATTCACAGTCATAGTTACATACCTTAGCTAAGGCATCACTTGCTTCGCTTTTATTTATCGATGGACTTGACTCTGGTGATTCGCTGTTACCAGACATATTTAGGGTCACATTGTCTGTAGCTTTGACATTTGTCAACTGAGATGCCGTCTTACTTCGTGTCACGGAGCACCCATAATCGTTATCTGTACCTTCGACATTTGTCAGCTGGGGAGTTAATAGGTTCCCACTGCCTATATCAAGTCGCTGCTCGATGGCTTGTTTGTTTTTTCCTAAGATCTCCAGTTCTTTATTGTCTTGATTCCATTTTATTGAGACCGATTCGCCCTAGAACCGCTTCACATCACCGCCTGGCGAAGACCATTGCCCAGTTAGATTTAATTCGTCTATAACCAGTACTTTTAGCTGAGATAAATCGCCCGTCCACATAAACTCTGAATTTTTGACAAACAGACAATTATAGAGACTAGTAATAGACATTTTCAACGGGATTTGTAACATACAATTTGGAATATATCACGGAGCAACTTAAGACACGTCTCCACACCAAGATGCTATGCAAGATATATGAATAAGCTTTGGGACGTATTGATACAGCAAAGAGCGTTCCCAGTGATGGTTTCCAGTGATATACGTCAAGCGTTCCTGCAAATCCGGATCAAAGCAGCTGAGAGAGACGTGCTGCAGTTTCATTGGCGTCGAGATGATCTGTCACCATTGGAGACCTTACGGTTTACGAGAGTCTTATTTGGTCTTGTACCCTCATCTTATCTACTCCATGGTGTAATCGAGACTTATTTAGACATCTGGTCCAAAACGTACCCTGAGGAAGTCGAAGCATGTACGTGGACTATCTACTAAGCGGCGGTTCGACAGTGGAGCAAGCTACGAGACGCAAAGAAATTTCCCGAGAAATTTTACAGGACGCTACATTTGAACTTCATAAGTGGAGCTCCAATGTACCGCAGTTGGAAGTTGACGAGGTTCATCAAGTATCTGAACTTTCTGACGAACAGTCTTATGCAAAAACACAGCTGATGGTGAAACCCAAAGAATCGAGAGTGCTCGGTCTGAAATGGGACAAACAAAGTGGCACATTAAAGATTTTATTCCCAAGCGAAGAAGTACCGGCGACGAAGCGAGGTATCTTAAGTAAACTGGCAAAGACTTATGACCCTCTAGGGTTGGTTTCACCGCTGACCTTGGAGGGGAAACTCCTATTCCGCGACGTGTGCGATGCAAAACTCCCGTGGGATGTTGAGATTAATAACGAACAGTTGAAACGTTGGCGAACCTGGGAACAATCCTTACCCGTGGAGGAAGGAGTGCCGAGATCTGTTGTGAGATACCAGGAACCAATTGATGAGATTGTATTACATTCCTTCGGTGACGCGTCTACGAAAGGTGTAGGGGCAGCAGTTTACGCAGTGGTTAAACAGCAGTCGGGAACGACACAGCAGTTGGTGGCAGCAAAGAGTCGGCTAGCAAAGAGAAATTTGTTGGTCTTGAGACGGACGATCGAGGAATTATAGTATGTATCGGAAGAATGCAAGGAATCCACCCTATCTATTTACCACGGAACGCGGTATTTACAGAAAAGCTGGTGCAACGTGTTCACTGCGAAACGCTACATGGCGGTGTCGGACCTACGATGGCGGCGGTACGAGAAACTTTCTGGTTTCCTCGCCTTCGAAGCCTCGTGAAAATGATACGCATTCGATGTTGGGGATGTAAACGATTTCGCCTTACTTCCTTTACAACTCCAGTGGCTGGACAATTACCGGAGGACAGAACCACACCT